GACTTCAACTCCCAGAATTCTGGGAGTTGAAGTCCTCCAGGCTTAAAGTTGCCAAGGTTGGACACCCCTGGTCTAGATTCTAGATAACAGTGATGGGGAAGGGTTCCAAAGCATAAGTTGAAACAGCTTCCTTCAAGCAACTTCTAAGATTTAAAGAGTAGATATTTTTCATCATTTTCAAGCCCCTCCACTATACATAAACAACTTTCACGAGTAAAGTCTTTCAAAGGAACTTAATATATGCTGTTATGTATTTATTCTCACTTGTTAATGAACTTGATAGACTGCTCCTTAGGCAGAACATAAATATGGTAAATACAAATGCAGATACATGATTGCCCACCCACCATTTCTATCAATTGTCACACAAAAACTAAAACAGCTTTGAGTGGGTGTATCTGAGGATAACATGCTGTTTGAGCTCAATCTACCTACATATATTTGACTCAGTAGCCAACATGTTAACCAGCTGGGTTTTGATTTGTCTTAAATATTTCAACTACCCAAGAAAAGTCTTTTGTTTCAAGGTTTCTCTTTATTAAACATTCATTATTGGAAAGATAACAAGATCAAACCATTTTTTTCTGACCTACATGTCCTCCAGCTAATCATTATAATGGACAAAAGCGAATAGCTTTTTTTTTTACTTGATCTTTTTAAAAAATGGGCAATGAAGTGTTAACATAATAGTTTTGTAAAAATTTACTCCAGTGGAAGTACAAAAGAAACTGAAGAATTTATAAATTAAGATGAAGATAGACATAAGGCTCATAACACAGCTCCATGAGCCAATTATTCTGTAAGCAAAATAACAAAATGGAAAAGAGCATTGAGGACACACAAGGCTGCAAGACCTTGAAAGAAATGTCAAACCTTCTAAGATCATGTCTGATTCTTAAAACTAGTATGTAGCCAGCAAACTAAAGTACACTTGAAGGAAATATCTCAAAATGAAATATTTAACTGAATCTACAGAATTTTCCATCTTCCTTTGGGGTTAAATCTCTGTATTTAATAGCTTATTAGAACACAGCCTGTGAGTCTTATTGTTTCATGATTTGAAAAACCAACCTTAAAAAAATCAATCAATCCCTAATCCCCAAAAGAAGAAAGGAAACATTTATATATTTACCTACATGAGCCTAACAAATTCAGTTCTGCAGTCCTGACAGCAGGATCACAAATTCTTCTCTACCATATGAAGAATATTAGAGGTATCAGCAGTCTGGCATTAATCAAATGCACTTTCACAACATTTGTTTTTTTCAGGGAAGAAAAGCTCGCCATTTTAAGAACAGCACTGCCAGCCCTGTAAGCAGCTTACATATTTTGCTTACAGAAGCATCATCTTTTTTTATTTTAAAAAAGAATGGCCTGAGAAGGAGCCAAGGATGATTTCATGAAACATTTACAAAAGGTTTGCCTATTTTTTTCTTTTTAATGTCAGCATGAATGTATTTCAACCTTTAGAGTCATTCCAATATCATTGTATCATCAATGCTGAACTAACTCCTGAAAGTAAGTCACACTAAATTATATAATGCATGTTTCTGAAAGAAGTCTACACATGGCAGTGATTAAGTTTCCCATCTCATCATCATACTCTGAAATATTTTAATGCATCCAACAATTAGGAGATTCCAAGCCACATATGGCTAAGTTGTAGGGTACAAGTGACTCCTTGCAATAAAATGTTGTAGTTTGAGTGTTCTCACTGCTAGCCATGCCGCTAGCCTTGCCATATTTCTAGGTCCTTCTGTTCTTTTTATTTCCTTTCCCTATCCCCTAAATGAGCTTGTTCAACCTCAGTGAGTACAACTTCCTTTTTTAAAACTATTTTTTGTAGTTCTGAGGACTATGGTATTTCCCAAATTGACTGATACCACCCTCTTGTTCATGGATGCAGAAGAGATATTTTATTTATTATTTTTCATACTTTTTAAGCACCAATTTCCCTTGGATTCTGGCAATAAGAAGGACTGATAGGTCTTTACTGTTAGTGCAGCAGGGGTGTCAAACTCCCCTGATGTATCTCAACTTTCCCCTTCGCTAAAATGGGGGTGGACATCGCCAGCGCATGACACATCTGGCCCATAGGCCACAAATTTGACACTCCTGGTGTATAGGGATCAGTAGCCTTCTGATGGTCAGTCTTATTCTGGTATCTTTACCACAAATAAGTCAGTGGCAGGCAGTGCAATGATTAAGTTCAGGACTTAACCTCACTAGAGTGACTTTGGGCTATTTTATTCTTTCATCTCAGCCTACCTCACTTTTATGATTAGAGTTAGGGAAAGTTATAGGCCAATTCAATGTCATTTTCATTTGCTTGAAGAATTAGGTACTTTGCAAATGTCAAATGGCAGCTTTGGAAGCTATTATGAAATGGCTCTGAAGATCAAGGTATTTTTTCAGATCTGCCAGGTAGTTTCCCCGCTCTTTAAAATGGTTTAGAGAAATGTGTAGAAGGTAAGGGTACTAGTTTATAGTCATGGCAATTATATTATCTAGAACACCAGAGCTAATTCCAGGGGTTAGAAAACATTATACAGTACTTTTGTTGTTTGCTGTTGAATTTCTCCCTGACCATATGACAAATGAAACAAATGTTTTTTAAAAAAGTTATATTTATGTAGCTACTTATCAAGCACATTTAAATTATACACTGCTCAAAAAAAATAAAGGGAACACTTAAACAACACAATGTAACTCCAAGTCAAACACACTTCTGTGAAATCAAACTGTCCACTTAGGTAGCAATACTGACTGACAATCAATTTCACATGCTGTTGTGCAAATGGAATAGACAACAGGTGAAAAGCATAAGCAGTTAGCAAGACATCCCCAATAAAGGAGTGGTTTTGCAGGTGGTGACCACAGACCACTTCTCAGTTCCTATGCTTTCTGGCTGATGGTTTGGTCACTTTTGAATGCTGGCAGTGCTTTCACTCTAGTGGTAGCATGAGACGGAGTCTACAACCCACACAAGTGGCTCAGGTAGTGTAGCTCATCTAGGCTGGTACATCAATGCGAGCTGTGGCAAGGTTTGCTGTGTCTGTCAGCGTAGTGTCCAGAGCATGGAGGTGCTACCAGGAGACAGGCCAGTACATCAGGAGACGTGGAGAAGGCTGTAGGAGGGCAACAACCCAGCATCAGGACCGCTACTTCCACCTTTGTGCAAGGAGGGACAGGAGCACTGCCAGAGCCCTGCAAAATGACCTCCAGCAGGCCACAAATATGCATGTGGCTACTCAAACGGTCAGAAACAGACTCCATGAGGGCCCGACATCCACAGGTGGGGGTTGTGCTTACAGCCCAATACCATGCAGGACCTTTGGCATTTGCCAGAGAACACCAAGATTGGCAAATTCACCACTGGTGCCCTGTGCTCTTCACAAATGAAAGCAGGTTCACACTGAGCACGTGACAGGGTCTGGAGACGCCGTGGAGAACCTTCTGCTGCCTGCAACATCCTCCAGCATGACTGGTTTGGCAGTGGGTCAGTAATGGTGTGGGGTGGCATTTCTTTAGGGAGGCGCACAGCCCCCCATGTGCTCGCCAGAGGAAGCCTGACTGCCATTAAGTACCGAGATGAGATCCTCAGACCCCTTGTGAGACCATACGCTGGTGCGGTTGGCCCTGGGTTCCTCCTAATGCACGACGCTAGACCTCATGTGGCTGGAGTGTGTCAGCAGTTCCTGCAATACGAAGGCATTGATGCTATGGACTGGCCCGCCCACTCCCCAGACCTGAATCCAATTGAGCACATCTGGGACATCATGTCTCGCTCCATTCAGCAATGCCATGTTGCACCACAGACTGTCCAGGAGTTGGGGGATGCTTTAGTCCAGGTGTGGGAGGAGATCCCTCAGGAGACCATCCACCACCTCATCAGGAGCATGCCCAGGCATTGTAGGGAGGTCATACAGGCACATGGAGGCCACACACACTACTGAGCTTTATTTTGACTTGTTTTAAGGACATTACATCAAAGTTGGATCAGCCTGTAGTGTTTTTTCCACTTTAATTTTGAGTGTAACTCCAAATCCAGGCCTCCGTGGGTTGCTAAATTTGATTTCCATTGATAATTTTTGTGTGATTTTGTTGTCAGCACATTCAACTATGTAATGAACAAAGTATTTAATAAGAATATTTCATTCATTCAGATCTAGGATGTCTTATATTTGTGTTCCATTTATTTTTTTGAGCAGTGTATTAAAGTAACCAACATATCTTTACAATCCCCAAGGAATGTCACAACTTTTGAGCACCCCTAATGCTTGCAAATTGAAAGCTGGCAACTGGCATGTATTTATTTGCAGTGTTTTAGGGTCATGTGATCACCTTTTATGACAATTTAACAAGCAAGCCAATGAGGAAGCCAGATTCGCTTAACAAATGTGTTGCTAACTTAACTGCAGTGGTTTACTGTGGCAAGAAAGGTTGTAAAATGGTGCAAAACTCAATTAACAACTGTCTTAAAATTTTTGGCTCATTTATGGTTCTAAAATGAGGACTACCCATACATGGATCTGGGAAATATTTAACTTAACTTTTTTAAAAATATTTAACTTGCTGTCATTTATCATGCAGTGTAGACAAAGAAAATAATCAGAAAATTGGTTTCATTGAAATAAAATCATACAGTTAATCCACTTCAAGTGATTGAAATATATAGACAAGTCTTGGCACGTAGTACAACTTTTTCAATATGAGAAGGTCTATTTGATGTAACTTGAGATACAGAAATAAAAAATGAAGAACTGTATAAAATTATCAATGTCCTGTTTTATGTATTTTCGCAGACACTGCCTCTTCCATATATACAGTAATAGGAACTAATGCTATTTTTCTACAGTATTTTCCATTTATTGTTTGTTAATCAAGGCTCTTCTGGCAATTTTTTCAAAATCCAAGATTGCAGTTTTTCTAGCTCACTTTTGCTTAGTTCGTGATAAAGGTTTGGTAGACTCAGAAATGTAGTTGTTACTCCCAGAGCTTTTAATGTTTTGTTGGTTTCTTCTCCCCAAGAATACAGAACCAGTTCATCAGCAGTTCCATGACACTGAAACAACTCTGGGGGTTCTCCTTCATTCTTTTCCAGTGCCTAGTAGCAAAAGAGACATTAACCATTTTAAGTCATGTACATTTTAACAAAAAGAAAATAGATGTCTAGATGGGGTGTCTGAATTCATTATCTTCCCCATTTAAAAGACAGACAATTGGAAAAATAAGGGAACATGCAAGTTTTATGTAATGAAAATAGTATGAACAGAAATGTGATACCTGGCCCTGCCACCCTAAAATACCTAATATTTTATACATGAAGGTCTGCATTGGAAGGCCCCTATAAACAAGCAGGTTCTCTATGAACTGTTCATCTTGCATGATCACAATTCTAAATCAGGCAAGGACTCTAAAAACCGCAGCAGACTCCTTACATCAAACCTGCTTTCCCACACACAAAAACCAGAAGACAGGATAAGTATGTGATAGTGAGATATACCCACTAGAGAATCCCTGTTCTCTTGTTCATTGTATGAACAAGAGCACTTGAAACAGTAGTGTTTATGAGTTTTCAAAGAACCAGGCAAAGCAATTTACTAGACTCTGTTCCTTGGGATGCTTCTCACCAAATTTATGTTGAAGAAAAAAATACTCTGGAAGAAACTAGAATTATGTAACTCCATTAATGGAAAGAACCCCTTCTGCCCCTGACCTAGTTAGTACATGGCACAATATTACAACCATCATTTACTGGTGGCTGATTGTTCCTGTTCTTAATCTATTTGGTCAAGGATTCTTTCAAGAGAAGGAAACAAGCAAATTATATAACCAAGGCATATTTCTACAAGCTTATAAGATATTAATGGAACTTTTTAAATTAATTTTGATTCCATAGAAAAATATAGCCTTGGGCAATCCATGTGTGGACAATCCATGAACTTTCCAAAATGAAAAGCGTGGTGGACTTTTTGTGCATAGTTTAAGTCTTACAGATAAATTCCCATATGCTCCCCCAATTGTTTATTTGATTTATATCTTGCCATTCTGATAAAGAAAATGTCCAACAAACAAAAACAATTCAATAAATGAAACAAATACAGCTACTTCATAATGAATTTTACTGTCTATTGTTTTGCCAATTCTGGAATATTTTTATGAATGCAAGGTAGAACTAAGGATTTTTTAAAAGCTAGTGAGCATCTACCTGGTAAACAACTGAATTCTTATTGAGAAAACTTGAAAGAGCAAATACTCCGGCCACCTCTTGGTGATATCTGTAAGCCAAATGCAAAGCCATGCCTCCACCCATTGAAAAACCACCTGTGGACATATTTTAAAGATAAAAAGAGAGAGAGATTAAAACTAAATACTTAGATTTCAGAACTGTTTTCTGTGCTGTACATATTGTATATTTTAAACAGGTTTTCCTCCCTTAAAATTACTAGTGAGGACAGAATCTTAAGATTCCCTGACAACAAGGTAATAGAAAAATAAGCAATGATTAGGTGATACAAATAATACAGCAAATGGCTGAAAAGCAAGCAGGAGGCTTGGTGTTAAATTTGTCATTTAACTGGCAAATGCCTCACTTGGTCAGACAACACCTTTGGGTTTTATAAATTTATAATTCTTTTGATGAATTAACTTTGCTTTATGACAATAAGATGTATTTCACATTTCTTAAGACTTGAGCTAATTGATTTTGTGGTAAATTCCAAATCTGTTTCATGTTTCTTACATCCTTGCCATATTTATTTTAGTACCTTTTAAAATCGTTCATAAAACTGAATTATTGGTTTAGCCTTTATAAAACTAATATATATTGAAAACTACATGACTTTCCAAGACAGCTAGTAGAGCTTATCCAAAAAGAACCACAAATGCTTTAATTGGATCTTAGCAATTATCTTTTAAGTTTCATAAATCTCATTAATTTATTCTGGCTGAGGATTGATGGTTGATTAGAGGTCCCTGTGAATGGCCTTGTAAGCAGGGACAGCACTATGGTGGAAATCCAGTTAGTGGTTGACAAAAATCTTTCCAGAGAAAAGGAGAGATATGGTGATCACACTCTTGTGTTCTGGAAGAGCTGCTCCTTGCAAGATCATAGGAACTGGGTTTTTTTTGTGGTTGATTACAGTTGATGTGAATTTACAACTCAAGAGAGATATTCCAAATGGCAGGGAAAATAAAAGATTCTTTGTGAGGTACTTTCTTTTTACACTAAGAAGAGGAGGGGAAAAATTATCCTAAAGGATTATAACTTTAAAACAGATTGTAATTCAAGTTTTGAAATGATAAAAGGGATAGCAATTTAAGAAACGTTTGTGACCAGATACAACATATGGACTTTCCATAAAAATGGAAAAAATGAACTTGTGAATTGTGTGTCTTTGATTAGAAATGAGGCACATAATTTTGATACTTTCAAGAAAATTTCAATAATATGTTGTTAAACAATATTGTCAAAATTATGGAAGTTATGATAACTTTCTGAAGCATAGCAACACTTAGAAATACAGCCTTATCATATCATCTAGGATGTATCAAAATTTAGTTGCTCCCTTTTCTAGAGCCATCATAAGTTCTTAGGTCTTAGCACTATTCCACTTCACTAATGACTAAGCAGGAATTTTCTAACTCAGTGTCT